CGAAAAGTCTTTTCTTCCCACTTATTTTTAACCAAATGTTATGTTAAGTATCATTATTTTTTTCCTTCCCTTTCCACGAAATAAAAGGAGTCTTTTACCCCAAAATAAAGTGTTCCCAACTCATTTTGAAGCTATAGGCCGAAAATGACTAAAGGAACAACTTCCAAAACCTTAGTTTGTTATTTTCTTCTTTAAAAGCCTTCATTGAGACAAATAAAGTGTTTCCCTTTGTTGTTCAACATAAGGCCGAAATTCCACACCCCTTTTTTCCCTAAAATTCAGCCCATATCCCACAACCACACAAATGGACAAACAAAGCAGCAAACTCTTTGAGTGAACAGTACTTGTTTTGTCTTTTGAGACCAAAATGACTCCACCTTTCCTCCTTTCCATATATGGCCGAAATACACCTTAAAACAAACTCAATAATATCTTCATAATCCTCACCAGTACTTCGTTTCATTTCCTTACTAAAGGACGAGATAAATGTTCCCTAATCCAGGCAAGGAAAGTCCACTAATGGTTGATAAGCACATGGTGGTTTCTGAGAAAGAGATAGGAAGCTGCCTTTGTTGTTATTATTGAATTTATCCCCTCTTTGTTATGTATATATACGGCCCTATGGCCTTTGTAATGAATCATCTTAGATTATTAAATAACAACTTTGTTTTACTCTTTGAGTAATTCCTTTAAAATAGTGTGATGCTACTTTTGAGTGTGTGTTAGGAGTCTATTTTATACATTAGTAGTGATTATTAATGTGTAAAAGAAGATAAAAGCCCCAAGTTAAGAGAAGAGTGTGTAATATTTCTTAACACCAACTTGGTTTATCCCTTCACTTTACCTCTGTCTATTTCATTCCTCACCATTTCTTCTTCTTGAACTTATTCTTTTCTTTCATTAAAAACACCAAAAAGAACTCTTTCCCATACTCCATATTTCATCCCTTCAATTCCTTCATCCACTTTCTCCATAAATCCTTCTCCAAAATAGCTACTTGTTTAGACCCCGGGTCTCGGGTACAACATGTGGGTTAGTTTATGCTTGATAGTTTCAAAGGCTTGTTGTGCACTTGGGTTCCACTCAAACTTTTGATGTTTGGTTAAACCCGTGAGAGGAGCAGCGATGGTACTGAATCCTTCACAAATCTTCTACAGAAAGAAGCAAGGCCGTGAAAACTCCGGACTTGTTGCATTGAGTTTGGCATGGGCCAATCTGTAATGGCTTGAGTTTTCTTCTCATCAACTTTAATCCCTTCATTTGAGATAGAATGTCCCAAAAACTCAGTTTCTTAAGAAAAGAATTGGCTCTTCTCAAGGTTCCCTTATAGCTTTTCTTCATCTAGCTTCTTAATCACCAAGGTGAGGTTATTAACATGTTCTTCTTCGCTCTTGCTATAAATCAGAATGTTGTCAAACTAGACAACGACAAAATGACCTATAAACAGCTTCAAGACTTGATTCATCAACCCCATGAACGTTCTAGAAGCGTTAGTTAAGCCAAAGGGTATAACCAACAACTCATAAAGACCAAACTTAGTCTTGAAAGAAGTTTTTCGCTCATCTCCTTCAAAGATTCTGATTTGATGATAGCCATTTGTAAAAGACCTTAGAACCGTGTAGCTCGTCAAGCATGTCTTGAAGCCTATGTATGGGATACCTATACTTGATGGTGATTTTGTTAATGGCACAGCTATCAAAACACATCCTCCAAGTACCAACAAAGCTAGAACATCACAAGGGCTTAGGCTTTCCCTAATGAACCCTTTTGCTAGCAATTCATCCACTGCAATAAATGTCTCCGGGATAGGGCGTCGGCGCCCTTCTTCATGGTTCCATTTTTGTGCTTGATGGTGAAGGTGAAGGTTTGGATATATTCAACTCACTTAGCATGGCGGGGTCAGAGTTTATGTTGCCCTTGTATATACTTGAGGGCCTCATGCTCAGAATGTAGGATGAACTCCTTGCTAATGAGGTAATGACGCCAATCCTCAAGTGATCGCACCAACGCGTAGAACTCCTTGTCGTAGGTAGAGTACCGCCTCCGGGTGTCATTTAGCTTTTCGCTAAAATAAGACACCGGGTGTCCTTCTTGAGTTGATGAGTTGCTAGCTAAGGGCTTCGTGAGAGAAAGCCTTAGCCCATGCGCTGTCCCGGCACTCTTGGTTCCTAAGAAGTATGGAACATGGTGTATGTGTTGTGATAGTCGATCTATCAACAAGATCACTATCAAATACTGGTACCCAATCCCACCTTTGGAGGACATGTTGGACGAGCTGCATGGCTCGAAAATCTTTTCAAAAGTTGATCTAAGGAGTGGCTACCATCAAATTCGCATCTTTGAAGGAGATGAATGGAAAACAGCATTCAAGACGAAGTTTGGGCTATACGAACAGTTGGTCATGCCATTCGGGTTAACCACTGCCCCAAGTACATTCATGAGACTTATGAATCAAGTCTTGAAGCCATTCATAGGTCATTTTGTCGTTGTATACTTTGATGATGTTCTGATTTATAGCAAGAGCGAGGAAGAGCATGTTAATCACCTCACTTTGGTGATTAAGAAGTTGGACGAGGAGAAGCTGTACGGGAACCTCGAGAAGATCCAATTCTTCTCTCAAGAAACGGAGTTCTTGGGATACTTTATCTCATGTGAAGGCATAAAAGTTGATGAAAAGAAGACACAAGCCATCAAGGAGTGGCCGATCCCCACCTCTATGCAACAAGTTCGGAGTTTTCACGGACTTGCCTCTTTCTACCGGAGATTCGTGAAAGATTTCAGCACTATCACAGCACCCATCACCGATTTGACCAAAAATCAGAAGTTTGAGTGGAACTCCAAAGCCCAACAAGCCTTCGAAATGATTAAGGAACGATTAACACATGCCCCCGTGTTAGCCCTCCATAGTTTCGATAAATTGTTCGAGGTTGAGTGTGATGCCTCGGGAGTTGGCATAGGGGCTGTCCTAAGCCAAGAAGGACATCCGGTGTCTTATTTTAGCGAAAAGCTAAATGATACAAGAAGGAGGTACTCTACTTACGACAAGGAGTTCTAAGTGTTTGTGTGGTCACTTGAGCATTGGCGTCATTACCTCATTAGCAAGGAGTTCATCCTACATTCTGATCATGAGGCCCTCAAGTATATCCAATGGCAACATAAACTTCGACCTCGCCATGCTAATTGGGTTGAATATATCCACACCTTCACCTTCACCATCAAGCACAAAAACGGAACCATGAACCAGGGCACCAATGCCCTATCTTGGAGACATTTATTGCTAACGGTACTTAGTACCAAACTTGTTGGTTTTTAGTTTTTGCAGGAGCAGTACAAGGAGGATGAAGACTTCAAAGACACTTATTCTAAGTGACTCATTCGGCCCTATGGAGACTTTCTCATCAAGGACGGATATCTCTTCCATGGCAACAGCTTTGCATTCCGAAATGTAGCGTTCATGAGACCCTTATTGACAAGATCCATGGAGGAGGCCTAGCTGGTCATTATGGGGTTGATAAGACTCACATGATGATGAGAGAACACTGCTTCTGGCCGAAGATGGAGCGAGACATAGAGCATTTTATCAAGCGTTGCAACACATTCCACCTAGCAAAGAGTCACTCACTGCCCCAAGGAAAGCACATGCCGCTACCCATTCCTTACGCACCATGGGAAGATATTAGCTTGGATTTGATCACCGGGCTACCAAGGACACAACGAGGCAAAGATTCGATCATGGTCGTCGTGGACCGATTCTCAAAAATGGCCCATTTCGTGCCATGTGTTACCACTTATGATGCTTCACAAGTTGCGGATATCTACTTCCGAGAGATAGTCAAACTCGATGGAGTTCCTCGAAGCATGGTATCGGATAGAGACACCAAATTCCTTAGTCATTTTTGGATGACTCTATGGAGAAAGTTGGGTACTAAACTCAAGTTTAGTACATCTAGCCACCCCAAAACCGATGGACAAACCGAGGTCACTAACCGCACCCTTAGAACTCTCCTCCGAGCCCTCATAAAGAAAAATATCAAGCAATGGGAGGAGCTACTACCTCACGCTGAGTTTGCTTACAACCGAACCCCGAACAAGACTACCAGACAATCCCCCTTCACCATTGTCTATGGTTCGAATCCCTTGACCCCACTAGAGCTTGATCCTATCATAACGGATAACAAGTATAGTTGGGAAGCGGACAAGAGATCGAAGGAAATTCAGGACCTTCACAACAAAGTTCGAGACAAGATTGAAGCTATGAATGAGAGAATTAGCGCGCGCATCAACAAAGGAAGGAAGGACGCCCACTTTCAACCAGGAGATCTTGTTTGGATTCATCTTAGGAAAGAGCGTTTCCCAACGAAACGCAAGTCGAAGCTGTTACCAAGAGCCGATGGACCCTTTGAGATATTGGAGAAGGTAAATGACAATGCCTACAAAATCAACCTTCCAGGAGACTATGGAGTATCGACCACATTCAACATCAAGGACATCAGCCCGTACTTTGATCCTGAAGAAATTCTGAGTTTGAGGACAAACTCTTTTGAAGAAGGGGAGTTTTTGGTTCTAGTTATTTAGATAAGTGTGTCATATCTTATTTAAATACTAGACTCAACCAAGTTAAAATAAGAGTGTGTAATATCTCTCAACCCTGATAATCGATTATCCTTCACTGATAATCGAATATCCAACACTCCTGAACCTCTTTGGCAGAATCAAAAAATCAATATAATCGATTATCAACTATTGATAATCGACTATCCTCCCCCTCTGAATCCTCTTGGCCTAAACCACACAATCCCACAATCGATTATCACTAAAGTGACAATCGACTATGCACCCTTCCTGAAACTCCCAAAATCTTCCCCGAGAAACTGAACCACCTGTTAGTCGATTATCATACCTGAATAATCAATTATCCCTCTCTCCTGCAATTTAAGAAGCCTTGTTCTTAAACTTAAGCCTAATCCTGGAGTTCGGGTATAACATTTGGTATCAAAGCCCAATATTCCACATCCCCAAGGACCAAAGCACTTCCCTCAGACTTTCCTCTTCCCCTTTTCTACCACCCCTTTGTTTCCAGTTCAACCATGTCAAATGAATCTCAACCCATGTCCCATGAAGAGCTTGTTGCATCCAACGCCGCCTTAAAGGCCCAAGTAGAGTACTTGGTCAAAGAGGTAGCTAAGCTCACCAAGATAAAGCTCAACACCCTTCAAGGAAGTGATCATGAGGATGATGCTAGCACCAGTAGCACCACCAAGGCCAAAACTAATGACGGGTCTGATTTCAAAGTTGACATCCCAACTTTTGAGGGAAAGAACGACCCGGAAAAGTTTCTAGAATGGCTAAACACGGTGGAACGCGTTTTCGATTTCAAAGAAGTCTCTGATGAGAAGAAGGTCAAGATAGTGGCCTTGAAGTTCCGAAAGTATGCATCTACTTGGTGGACTAATACGTGCACCAAAAGGAGAAGAAACCACAAGGAGCCGTTGGCTACATGGGCCAAAATGAAGTCTCTCTTAAAGAAGAAGTTCTTGCCCGCTGAATATGTTCGTGAAAATTTTGCCAAGCTTCAAACACTTAAGCAAGGTTCTAAATCAGTTGAAGAATACACCCGCGAGTTCGAGGAACTCTTGTTAAGGTGTGACTTGCAAGAAGATGATGAGCAAACCTTTGCACGATACCTATTCGGCTTAAACCTACAAATAGCCAGTATTGTAGAGTTGCAAAGTTATGAATCCCTGGAAGAGCTTACCAAACTAGCCCTTAAGGTTGAAGCATTAATAAAGAAATCCAAAGCCCTTCTTTCCAAAGGTAACTCCTCTTACACACGGCCCAACCCCACTTTCCAAAAGCCAAACTATCCTCCATCCAAAACACCCTTCAATTCCAACAAAACTACCCATACTACCCACGGAACCCTGCCCTCTCCCTCACCAAAGAACCCGTCCTCCTCTCCTCCTCCTAGAGCGGACTCGACAAGGAAAGCACCCATTTGCTTTCGATGTCAAGGACGAGTTCATTATGCTAACGAGTGCCCCAACAAGAAGGTGATGGCAATCATTGAGTGTGATGAAGAAGAATTTGATCCAATCCGAGCAACACGAATTCCATGAGATTAAAGACTTGATCCTTTTGGAAGATTGTTATACCCCTGGGGGACTCCACCAAAACCCCAAACCATCCCTAAACATCCAAAATTCCTTGTCTTTTATTTCCTTTCAAATAAAGTCTTTCTCCACTTATTTTAAGTCCCTTGACCGAAAATAAGAAGACCACTGTTATTCCTTTTTTTTAAAGCCTTAAATATCAAATAACACACTTCCCTTCCTGTTCCTACATAGGGATGAAATTCCAGCCCCATTTGGTTCCTAAAATCCAACCAAAATTACCATTTACCACAAAGGGACAAAATCAGCAAAAAGAGTCTAAAGTTGAATAGTAAAAGTTTGTCCTTTTGTTGACTAATTTCACAACCAAACATGTAGTGTACCTTCCTCACCTTTTCCCCTACAAAAGGCCGAAAACAATCCACCAAATACAGCCTAGAATATATTCATATTAAGTTTCAAATTATCCTTGTTGATTTTGTGTGCATAAGGCCGAAAATCCATAACTCATTTTAACCCAAAATACTTTCCTTTCACAGCACACCCTTGTCTTGCTCACTAATAGCCGAAATACTCTCTTCAAAACAAGCCAAAGAATATCCTCCAAATTCATCCAGTATCTCCTTGTGATTTCCTTCATTATAGGCTGAACAAACCAGCCCCATTTTTAGCCAAATAACATCCCACTAAGCCCCACAATGTTTCCCAGTTATTTGTGCTACATATGGATGAAATACACCCTTCCAAAATATGCTAAATAAAGCTTTGTCACAACCTTGGACTTTCCTCACATATGGCCGACATACACACCCCAAAAAAACAGCCAAAGGAAACCCTCATCCTAGTCATCAATGCACTCATTTGGATGCTGATTTGGGAAGGAAGTAGGAAGCTTCTTTGTTATTGTTTTCTTCTTCATTATTAATGTATTCTTTCCCCTTTGTAGTGTGCATATATAGTTCGGCCTTATGGCCATTGTAAGCAGCATATTTGAATTCAAAAACCTTGTTTACTCTTTTGAGTATTCTCTTAAAATAGTGTGATGCTATTTTAGCCAAATTCCTAATTCTATATCTTAAGAGTGGTTCTCTTAAGTGTGAGTTTTAGGTTTTAGATATTTAATTAAGTGTGTCATATCTTGATTGAATTCTAGATTCAAACCCCAAGTGAAGATAAGAGTGTGTTATATCTCTTAACACCAATGACAATTGTAGTTTTTTCGGGTAGTAAACATTCCCAATAAAGGGTTATTTTTTTCTCTCCGAGTGTCGTATCTCTCGAGGAGTGGACGAAGGGAGTTAGTTTAATTACTCTAACTAGGCGAAGATTAGGATTGGTATATGAATGTCTTCTCGGAACGATTATAAAAAGCGTAGAGTGAAAATAATAAATTAATTTTACATAGTATAAGTGTAGATCTGGACCTAGGGTCAGGACATCATTTGGATCTATTCTATCATATTAAATTAACAATTGGAATAATAATATTTCTATTACTACTCATCCATTTATAGATTTGTACTTAATCCGTTGTACTTGAATATCATAGCCTTTTGGCATACAATATTTTCTCAATAAATAGTTAATTAAATCTTCCGATATTAATTAACTAATTAAGGCAAGAACAATTGACTAACCATTCCAATATTAATTTAACATAAAATAAACAACCAAACTAGTCCGGACCCAGAGATCCGGACCCTAACTCATACTACGGAAACATAAATTAAAACATCAATTTATTAGATAAAGAAAACTTACAACTTCCATAAAAGCGGAACAGAATAGATCGGGAGTAGAATTCCTCCAAAAATTACTCTAAAACTACTATAATAATAAACTAGTATTTGGAATTGTAATAATAAGCTCAAATCCCGAGAGAGGGGATGAAAGTGATGTAATGAATGGGGAGAATCACGCTGTATTTATAGGACAGAGGCCGAGGCGTCCAAGTCAAAGCGTCCAAGTCCAGGCATCCAGATCGGGACGCTTGAGCTGCTCCGGCCAACCAGGTTTTGCCACGTGTCTTCCTTGATCTGCAATCCATCCAAGGCGTCCAACTCCCAAGCGTCCAACTTGGCCAAGCGTCCAAGTTGGACGCCTTAGGCCCTGGTCCGTTTGGCTTCATGGCTGACGCGAGATCTTGGCCCAATTTCGCTGGTTTTTGGCCCGAACGTCGATTTTATCTTCCCGGAAGCTCGTTCAAGCCCGAATCTTGATCCTTTGATGATTTATTCCCTTTTTCTCAAGAATTTGAACATAAAATGGATAATTTATGATGATTTTATGTGGAATCCCTATTTATGACTCTTAGAACGAAAATGAGAGTTTTATCCATCAAAATCACATTTTATGAGATGATTAAATATCATTTACGTGCAATAACGTTTAGAATATGATGTAAATGATAAGAACGAAACGGACTTATCAAATTCCTCACACTTAAACGTTGCTTGCCCTCAAGCAACAAATTGAATAATTACAAGTATGAAGGCAAATTAATAATTGCAGAGGCAAGGTTTAAGCTACATATTATGAAGGAAAGAAGAAATAAGATAGCCATCAACCTTTTTGTTAAGAATAAATAAACGTTTAGATTCTCACCCATATTGTTAGAAATGTAAAAGAATTTTGTCAAACCAATATTTTTACACCAACCTAAACAACCAAAATTTTCCAAACTTTCTTTGGGATAACTACATTTGTAAGAGTACTTTATAGATCAAATAATTTTTTTAATGGCTAAATTGGAAGACATGTTCTTGCAAAAGTATTAATCAAAGTATAAGGGTTTAATTTTCTTTGGCGTAACTTTGTCATGTTGACACAAGAGAAATTTATAACCTCATCCCGTGACATAAAGCCACGAGCTTTTTGGATATTCACTCTGGAAAGTCTCATCACACGACATAGAACAGCATGTTTTTTGACTCTAACACTCAAAAGGCCTCATCACGCAATATAGAACCACGTGCTTTTCGGCATACTCACCACGCCTCATCAGTTGACTTAGAACCAACTGCTTTTTGGCTAAAACAAGAAACCCGATCTCACCAAAGTATGCTTTGAAACATTGCCCCTTATACTTTGAAAATAACTCTTTTTAAGAAACAACAAATACTCAGAGCCCAAAAGATAGATGAGTATTTGCAAAAAGATTTTCAATAAAGCAACTTAAAATTGATTGATCTTAAAAACTCTTAGACAATTGTGAATTTATCCCAAATCATTTTAGAAAACATTCCCAAAAAGGTCAGAGTAGAAATAGAAGTTTGATAAAAAGTTTAAAAATTGGAAATTTTTACGGGTGATAACTAAAGATTAATTAATCAAACAATTAAAATTGATGACTATTCTATAAAAATCTTTTCCTAAAAATATATAGACAAAACAATTCCTAAAAAGATCATTTCAACAAAGAACTCTTGCCTCCTCACACTTAAATGGAACCACGCCCTCGTGGTTTAAGAGTGTTACTGGTATTGGAGCTAATTGTTGAAATGCTCACATGCAATTGCTAAGTTATCTCAATACTTATAAAATAATAGATGACCATAACATGTAAGTATGAAATAATTCATAAAATATTCTCAAAAGGGTTTTAAGAGTCATGAAAAGAAGAATTCTAACGTAAGATCATATAAATATCCAAAATTAATGTTCTGTCAAGGTCCAGGATCCTTAACCCAACCCTGCGGCTGGGTGGCAACAGGATATATGGAGGAGACTTTGTATAAGTGGGTGGGGGCGGAAGTCTCCTCAGTTGATCCACATCATTGGCTTTGATTGCGAAATTGATTTCTTCCTTATCTTCAATTGACTGACTATCCATTTGTGGTTTGATGATTATGATCGTACCCTCCCCCAAGGAAGAGTCCTCGTTGTCACTCACCAGAAGTTCATCCCAACTCTTTAAGTTCCAACCATCCTTCAGGCAGACATAGTCATACCCGTCAAGTAGGGAGTCAAAGAAAGTATGGTCTGAATCATCAGATGAATCATTGGTTGCATAGGTTTCTATAGACGGAGTTGGCTTTTCTTCATCTATAGGTTCCTCCTTAGACTTGTGGACATCGGAATCTTGGGGGCTTGTAGTGGGCTCTTTCTCCTCCAGAACAGCTTCCTCTGGAGGTGTGTCTTCAACACAATTAAGGAGGTGGTCGTTTATTGCTATAGGCAAAACTTCCTCCTCCTTTTCTTGACTAAGCATAGGTGGTTCTGAGTCAGGTCCCTTAGTTGGTTCCACCTTCTGTACGACTATGCTGGTTGTGACTTGGCTAGGAAGGGATTTAGGTAACATCACCACAGTAGCCCTAGCGAGAGTTGTTATGCTCTCGGGTTTCTGTGATGGTGTAAAACTGGGTGAATCTTCTAGAACTGGAACCTATTGGTTGATGGGTTCAGGGTTGGTCTTAGGTTCTAGAGCCTCTTTTTGAACATTAATCTCCCTTATTTGAGATTGGAGGGAGCGTTTAAGTTCAACAGCCATACAGAGACCATTGATTAATTTATCGGCTTTAGACTCAGCTTCTAGTCTCTCTCTTTGAAAGTCGTACAACATTTTCTGCATCATTTCCGATCCTTCGCATAATCTCCTTTCGAACTCCTTTTCCTTCCGGACTGATTCGAGAAGTTTTGCTCTTTCTCGAATTGCCACCTTGTTTGCTTCGATTTGTTCTTCAGCAAACAGGGTGTAGTCACGGCAGTAGGGTGGTTCGTACCAGGAGCCTTCAGCAAATAAGACTTCGTCGAAATAGAAAGTTTTCTGTTCTAATCTTATGATCTCTTCGACAAGTGGATCAGATTGATCATCGTACATAGGCCCAAATTGGTCATAGTCATCTTGGTCACCATGAGGTTCATAATAATTATCCTCATCAGAATCTTGGTATGGAGAATATCCAAAGTTTCTAGACGGGGTATCACATGGTGGTTCCTCATGGTAGGGATAGTAGTCAGACCCATTGTCGACTTGGTAGTCATCATCATTTGGGTTCTGATGTGGGTGGTAAGGTGAATGGGTTTGGTATGGAGGGCGGTTGGGTGATTGGTAGAAAGAAGGCGGACCGTAATAACCAGTGGGGTTTTCCATAATAATTATTACGGGTGGTTGGTGAAAAGAAGTGAGAAGATCGTTCTAACCAATCTTCACCCAAGCTAATAAGAAGAAATTAAACTAATGTCGTGCCACACCCCGGCAACGGCGCCATTTGACAATTGTAGTTTTTCGGGTAGTAAACCTTCCCAATAAAGGGTTAGTTTTCTCTCTGAGTGTCGTATCTCTCGAGGAGTGGACGAAGGGAATTAGTTTAATTACTCTAACTAGGCGAAGATTAGGATTGGTTGATGAAACTCTTCTCGGAATGATTATAAAGAGCGTAGAGTGAAAATAATAAATTAATTTTACATAGTATAAGTGTAGATCTGGACCTAGGGTCAGGACATCATTTGGATCTATTCTATCATATTAAATTAACAATTGGAATAATAATATTTCTATTACTACTCATCCATTTCTAGATTTGTACTTAATCCGTTGTACTTGAATATCATAGCCTTTTGGCATACAATATTTTCTCAATAAATAGTTAATTAAATCTTCCGATATTAATTAACTAATTAAGGCAAGAACAATTGACTAACCATTCCAATATTAATTTAACATCAAATAAACAACCAAACTAGTCCGGACCCAAAGATCCGGACCCTAACTCATACTACGCAAACATAAATTAAAACATCATTTTATTAAATAAAGAAAACTTACAACTTCCATAAAAGCAGAACAGAACAGATCGGGAGTATAATTCCTCCAAAAATTACTCTAAAACTACTATAATAATAAACTAGTATTTGGAATTGTAATAATAAGCTCAAATCCCGAGAGAGGGTATGAAAGTGATGTATTGAATGGGGAGAATCGCGCTGTATTTATAGGACAGAGGCCGAGGGGTCGAAGTCAAAGCGTCCAAGTCCAGGCATCAGGATCGGGACGCTTGAGCTGCTCCGGCCAACCAGGTTTTGCCACGTGTCTTCCTTGACTTGCAATCCATCCAAGGCGTCCAACTCCCAAGCGTCCAACTTGGCCAAGCGTCCAAGTTGGACGCCTTAGGCCCTGGTCCGTTTGGCTTCGCGGCTGATGCGAGATCTTGGCCCAATTTCGCTGGTTTTCGGCCCGAACGTCGATTTTATCTTCCCGGAAGCTCGTTCAAGCCCGAATCTTGATCCTTTGATGATTTATTCCCCTTTTCTCAAGCATTTGAACATAAAATGGATAATTTATGATGATTTTATGTGGAATCCCTATTTATGACTCTTAGAACGAAAATGAGAGTTTTATCCATCAAAATCACATTTTATGAGATGATTAAATATCATTTACGTGGAATAACGTTTAGAATTTGATGTAAATGATAAGAACGAAACGGACTTATCAACCAACTTGGTTTATCCCTTCACTTTACCTCTGCCAATTTCATTTTTCACCATTTCTTCTTCTTGAACTTATTCTTTTCTTTCATCAAAAACCCAAAAAAACAACTCTTTGTTCCACCCCCATATTTCGTCCCCCTCATTTCCTCTTCACCATCCCATAATTCCATATTCAAATAGAAACTTGAATATACCCCGGGTCTCGGGTATAACAAAGATGGAGAAGCCGAACCCCACACTCCCCCAAACTAGCCCCATCCTCTAGCTCAACCAATCCTTGAAGAATACGCCCATGTGTTTCCCGAAGATGTACCACACGGTCTCCCTCCTAAACGGGACATACAACACAAGAATGAACTTATTCCGGGGGCTGCCCTACCCAACAAACCGACATATAGGATGAATCCCGAGGAGACAAAAGAGATTCAACGTCAAGTTGATGAGTTGCTAGCTAAGGGCTTCGTGAGAGAAAGCCTTAGCCCATGCGCTGTGCCGGCACTCTTGGTGCCTAAGAAGTATGGAACATGGCGTATGTGTTGTGAAAGTCGATCTATCAATAAGATCACTATCAAATACTGGTACCCAGTCCCACGTTTGGAGGACATGTTGGACGAGCTGCATGGCTCAAAAATCTTTTCAAAAGTTGATCTAAGGAGTGGCTACCATCAAATTCGCATCTTTGAAGGAGATGAATGGAAAACAGCATTCAAGACGAAGTTTGGGCTATACGAACAGTTGGTCATGCCATTCGGGTTAACCACTGCCCCAAGTACATTCATGAGACTTATGAATCAAGTCTTGAAGCCATTCATTGGTCATTTTGTCGTTGTATACTTTGATGATGTTCTGATTTATAGCAAGAGCGAGGAAGAGCATGTTAATCACCTCACTTTGGTGATTAAGAAGTTGGACGAGGAGAAGCTGTACGGGAACCTCGAGAAGATCCAATTCTTCTCTCAAGAAACGGAGTTCTTGGGATACTTTATCTCATGTGAAGGCATAAAAGTTGATGAAAAGAAGACACAAGCCATCAAGGAGTGGCCGATCCCCACCTCTATGCAACAAGTTCGGAGTTTTCACGGACTTGCCTCTTTCTACCGGAGATTCGTGAAAGATTTCAGCACTATCACAGCACCCATCACCGATTTGACCAAAAATCAGAAGTTTGAGTGGAACTCCAAAGCCCAACAAGCCTTCGAAATGATTAAGGAACGATTAACACATGCCCCCGTGTTAGCCCTCCATAGTTTCGATAAATTGTTCGAGGTTGAGTGTGATGCCTCGGGAGTTGGCATAGGGGCTGTCCTAAGCCAGGAAGGACATCCGGTGTCTCATTTTAGCGAAAAGCTAAATGATACAAGAAGGAGGTACTCTACTTACGACAAGGAGTTCTAAGCGTTTGTGTGGTCACTTGAGCATTGGCGTCATTACCTCATTAGCAAGGAGTTCATCCTACATTCTGATCAAGAGGCCCTCAAGTATATCCAATGGCAACATAAACTTCGACCTCGCCATGCTAATTGGGTTGAATATATCCACACCTTCACCATCACCATCAAGCACAAAAACGGAACCATGAACCAGGGCACCAATGCCCTATCTTGGAGACATTTATTGCTAACGGTACTTAGTACCAAACTTGTTGGTTTTGAGTTTTTGCAGGAGCAGTACAAGGAGGATGAAGACTTCAAAGACACTTATTCTAAGTGACTCATTCGGCCCTATGGAGACTTTCTCATCAAGGACGGATATCTCTTCCATGGCAACCAGCTTTGCATTCCGAAATGTAGCGTTCGCGAGACCCTTATTGACGAGATCCATGGAGGAGACCTAGATGGTCATTATGGGGTCGATAAGACTCACATGATGATGACAGAACACTACTTTTGGCCGAAGATGGAGCGAGACATAGAGCATTTTATCAAGCGTTGCAACACATGCCACCTAGCAAAGAGTTACTCGCTGCCCCAAGGAAAGCACATGCCGCTACCCATTCCTTACGCACCATGGGAAGATATTAGCTTGGATTTCATCACCGGGCTACCAAGGACACAACGAGGCAAAGATTCGATTATGGTCATCATGGACCGATTCTCAAAAATGGCCCATTTCGTGCCATGTGTTACCACTTATGATGCTTCACAAGTTGAGGATATCTACTTTCGAGAGATAGTCAAACTCCATGGCGTTCCTCGAAGCATGGTATCAGATAGAGACACCAAATTCCTTAGTCATTTTTGGATGACTCTATGGAGAAAGTTGGGTACTAAACTCAAGTTTAGTACATCTAGCCACCCCAAAACCGATGGACAAACCGAGGTCACTAACCGCACACTTGGAACTCTCCTCCGAGCCCTCATAAAGAAAAATATCAAGCAATGAGAGGAGCTACTACCTCACGCTGAGTTTGCTTACAACCGAACCCCGAACAAGACTACCAGACTATCCCCTTTCACCATTGTCTATGGTTCGAATCCCTTGACCCCACTAGAGCTTGATCCTATCATAACGGATAACAAGTATAGTTGGGAAGCGGACAAGAGATCGAAGGAAATTCAGGACCTTCACAACAAAGTTCGAGACAGAATTGAAGCTATGAATGAGAGAATTAGCGCGCGCATCAACAAAGGAAGGAAGGACGCCCACTTTCAACCAGGAGATCTTGTTTGGATTCATCTTAGGAAAGAGCGTTTCCCAACGAAACGCAAGTCGAAGCTGTTACCAAGAGCCGATGGACCCTTTGAGATATTGGAGAAGGTAAATGACAATGCCTACAAAATCAACCTTCCAGGAGACTATGGAGTATCGGCCACATTCAACATCAAGGACATCAGCCCGTACTTTGATCCTGAAGAAATTTCGAGTTTGAGGACAAACTCTTTTGAAGAAGGGGAGGATGATATACCCCGGGCGACTACCAACAACTCTAAAGTCGTTAAAAAAATTAATGGAATAGTGGATAAATGTTATGATCCCTTTTGGACCGAACTTATCAATCCTAAAACCCACCACATAGCCATAATTTCCCTGAGCAACTCCCACTAAAAACCCAGCCACTCTCATCCAAGCCAAATCCCAAAATATCCAAAATAATTGTTATATCTAAGCTCCGGGTGTTTTGATAATAAGCTTGAAGTTGAGGAGCAAAGTGTCTTTAATTTGCAGGAGGGGTTATAGTCGATTGTCCAGAAGGGATAATCGATTATTGGAGGGTTCGGTTTCTTGAGTGATTTTGGCAGATTTTTCAGAGAGGGGTAATAGTCGATTTGCAAGATGGTGTAAATCGATTATTGATGGGTGCAGATCTTTCACGTGAGATGATAATCCATTTAGCCAAGGGTGACAATCGATTATAGGGCAGTTTAAGGAAATGAAAAAGAGGTGTTTTGGTGAGGAATGGCTGGGAAAATATGGGGATGATGAGGGAGTTCTTTTGGGTATTTTTTAATGGATGAAAAGAGTAAGATTAAGAGGAGAAATGGGGAGGTATGAAATGGAAGAAAATCAGGGATGGATAAACCAAGTTGGTGTTTAGAAGATATTACACACTCTTATCCTAACTTGGGGTTTGAGTCTAGAATTTAATTAAGATATGAATCACTTAATCAAATATCTAGATAATAAAACTCACACTTAAGATAACCACTCTTAAGATATAGAATTAGGAATTTGGCTAAAATGGCATCACACTATTTTATAAATACTCAAAGAGTAAAAGGGAGTTTTAATATTCAAAGTTGTTTTTATAATGGCCATAGGACCTGATTATATAGGGAGAGGGGAAGGTGGAAATACATAATACATTGAATGTAAACATGAGGAAGCTTCCTAGCAACATCCACTTCCCAAGCATGGGGCAACACTCATTGAATCCTGTCTCCAAAGTTGAATAAAATTCAGGGATGGGGCTGGGGTTTTGGGGGTTCTGAGCTTTGGTTTGCAGTGGTTGTTTCCTGGGTTTTAAGGCTATTATTTGGGTGAACATGAGGGGTTGTTTTTGGCCAATAAAAGGGGACAGGGCTGGGCAATATTAGGGGTGGTTTTGGACATATGGGTTTGGGTTATTTGTGGGGGAACATGGACAGGGATTAGTGGTTTGTGGTGCGTCAGGATTTTGGCTCTTTTTGGGTGTTGTGTTGGGGTTATGAAGTGTATTTTGGCCAGGGAACGGATGGAATAAGGGGAGGGTTTTATTTGTTTAATAAAAGGATTAAAAGAAGGAAAATAACAACAAACAAAAGGTTTTGGTTTGCACACTCTTATTTTCAGCCAGGGGCTAAAATAAGAATAATAAAAACTTTATTTTGAAATGAATTAAACATTAAGCAGTTTTGGATATTTAGGGTTGGGTTGGACAGAGTGGGAGTCAGTCTGCGGAACCCTTGGGATCCGAAGTTATTCTGGCCGCTTGGGTTGAAGGACTCGGAATTCTCACTAAAACGGATCATAATGTTTGAACGTAAGTCCTTTGGTTTTTGCGAGGGTGTGGGACATGGGGGAGGGCATGATAGGGCCAGGCCCGGATATAACATCCTCCCGGTCTTCAAAAGAGTTTGCCCTCAAACTCAACGGATAATCAAGACCGTCATATGGACTGAGGTCTCTCTTATTGAACGTGGTAGAAACTCCATCGCTTCTACTGAGGGTGACCGCGTAGGCATTGTTTTTTACCTTGGCTACAACTTCAAATGGACCATCGTCTCAGGGTTGAAGCTTTGCCTTGCGTTTGCCAGAGAAACGCTCTCTTTGCACATTGACCCACACTAGGTCTCCGGGTTGAAAGTGGAAGTGGATGGAACTTTTCAAATCCTTTCTTTTCATAAGCTTTTCACGAGTCTTATGACAAAACTCGAAAGTTTCTTGTATTCCTTCATCACAAGGGCCCTGTAAAACCTCAACAAATTTGGTACGAGGTACCGTTAGTGAAGATAACAATCGAGGTGAGGCTCCTGCATTTTGGCTCATGAATCCACCTTGGGTCTTCTCATTAAACATTTGGGGAGTTAAATGAGTGTCTTTCTCTTCTTTAGGATGGCATATGGGGCTGATAGTTGGCACATATATGTTGGTCAATTCCTTTTTCCTCATAAGGGTTTAGCAAGTGTCTTCATATCCATTAAGACAAACAATGGGATCAAATACCCATGGCTTTTCTTGATTTGGCCAGTGGGTTGAATATGATCTTGGGAAAGACACCGGATTGATGGGTAGCACCACAACCATTTCTTTGAGCATCACTTTGACACAACATCCGTTCTTGGTGATAAGAAGACCAGCCTCCTTTTGGCTAGCCAAATGAGTAAGAGAGTGGGCCAAACTACTCAACGGCCTATTAATGACCAGGAGTTCATCTTCATATTGTCCTGGAGACTTCACACCTTCTTGTGCTTCCTTAAGTCCCAAAGATTCTGAACTTTCTTCTCTTTCTACCAAAGACTTCAGACTCTCATAATGACCAATCTTTTGACAATGAAAGTAATGGGGATTCTTAGGAATATATGGGCTGGTTTTTGGTGGGGGTATGACCATGGTATTTGATGGAGAGGCTATGGTTTTGTGGGGGGTTTGGAGCTGTGGAAGTGGTGGTGGTTCTGGGGTTGCTTTGGGCAGTTTGTGGAGGGGTTATAGACATGGGTTTAAGAAAGGTTTTAGGCAGGGGCATTGAAAGGGTTTTGGGGTTAATTTGGGCATTATCCAAGGAAGAAAAAGAGATGGTCTGTGAGGACTATTGGGGTAGGGGTGTTGAAAGGGTGCTTGAATCATTTTGGGCAGTAGCTAGGAAAGGTAAAGAGGTGGTTTGAGTTGGAATCTTGAGTAGGTGAGAAGGAGTTGGGTGAGAGATGTTTTGGACAGCATGGGTGCAAGGTAAAGAGGGGACTTTAGAGGGAGTTTGAGTGTTGAGGATGGTGGTGGCTTCAGGAATGATTTGGGTAGCGTGTGAAGATCGGGGTTTAGAGGAGGTTAAGGTTTTGGGAGAGAGAGTGATATGGAGTGGCTTTTGTTGTGGGGAAGGTGGTATGACTTTAGAAAGAGTATTGGGTGAAAAAGGGAGAGTATTTTCAAGTACATGGTGGGGATGATCTTTGGAAGAAAAACTCTTAATTAAGAGTTTTCTTAACTTTTCTTAAGTTCTCCCCTTCGCTTTTCCTTGGAGCTTTCGTTTTGAATTAACGCTAGCCCACCAAGTAGAGGCATGTCTTTGAAACTTTGCCACCACTAGCTTGACCTTCTTGTCTTCGGGTACGTATTTGAGTGTAAAGACATCTTCAATTTTTGCTAACCACTTTGAGAACTTCTCCGGGTCATTTCTCCCCTCAAACGTGGGAATCTCCACCGAATTAGTGAGCTCCTTGATTTGTTTCATCATAAGCTCAATTTCCTTCTTTAGTGTGTCCTGGGCAGCAGCTAATTCACCTTGAAACATGTTTTGAGAAGAGCTTGGCATGGTGGATATATGGCTTGAAGAGTGTATGGTTGACAGTAACAAAAGAGATGAGGGAGGCATGTAAAGATGATCCCTTATAGATGTTCAACACAAAGCTCTGATACCAAATGTTATATCTAAGCTCCGGGTGTTTTGATAATAAGCTTGAAGTTGAGGAGCGAAGTGTCTTTAATTTGCAGGAGGGGTTATAGTCGATTGTCCAGAAGGGATAATCGATTATTAGAGGGTTCGGTTTCTTAAGAGATTTTGGCAGATTTTTCAGAAAGGGGTAATAATCGATTTACAAGATGGTGTAAATCGATTATTGATGGGAGCAGATCTTTCACGTGAGATGATAATCAATTTAGCCAAGGGTGACAATCGATTATAGGGCAGTTTCATGAAATGAAAAAGAGGTGTTTTGGTGAGGAATGGCGGGGAAAATATGGGGATGATGAAGGAGTTCTTTTGGATATTTTTTAATGGAAGAAAACAGTAAGATTAAGAGGAGAAATGGGGAGGTATGAAATGGAAGAAAATCAGGGATGGATAAACCAAGTTGGTATTTAAGAGATATTACACACTCTTATCCTAACTTGGGGTTTGAATCTAGAATTTAATTAAGATATGACACTGATGGACGATAAATCCACCAGACTATCCGATTCAGAGGAACGGATCGTAAGAAATGAATTAAGAATAAGAACTCGAGAGTTATGTGTAATTTATTAGCTCGATTTTGCTTGAGTTCTCCCTTTCGGGGTCCCTTCTATTTATACATGGATTCTGGATAATTAAGGTAATACATAATCAACAGGTGTCCGTTCCGTCATTGGCGCGATCCACTTTTCCTGGCTTCATTTTCACCATTCGGCTCTGTCTTCTCCTCTCGGTTGGCTCCGCCAGCTGTTTTTGGGTTGGAGGTTATTGGGTTTTGTCTCGTGGGCCGGCCCGGGCCTAAGTTTTTCCTGTGCACTTGACCCAAAATCTATTAACTGCTTTAATTGGGCCATCCACCGGATATCGGCCCATCACAAGCCCCCCAACTCGTCATTCCTCGTGTGGGCCACGTCGAGGGATGGGGAGTTTACGAGGTCCACGTGGGCGTCCTAGCGCGGATCCGGGCCGTTCCTTAGGTTTCGCGTGACGTTTGGGCACGATCTCCACGAAGATGTAACCATAGCCTGTTGATTCGCCTTCCCACTGACAGTTAAAACCGCCGCTAAACGCCATCTTCTTTTTTCCCATCACCATCTGTTCGTGATTCCTCTGTTACCCGACCCGTTTTGCTTCTGCTCCAGGTCAGTTTCCTCTCTCGCCACCATGATTGTCTCTGATTCTGATTCAGCTTCCGCATCGTCCAATTCTCGTCATGCCGATCAATCGGCCTCTGGCCGTGACCCAAGCCAGACTCAATCGTCCCGTTCGTCCCTGCCCGCTATGCCCAGCCAAAAGCTACGCCGATTGAGGAAGCAATTTCCTTCTTCGACCCCAGTATGGGGGGGCTCAAGGGTTAGGCTGGACGAGAGCATCATGGCATTGTGCCATTGCCAAGTTACTGACCGGGGGTTCGCCGATGCCACTGATATGGTGGGACCCTCTATTGAGGTTCTAAGGCCTACTAGCACCCAGACCGCCCTAGACGCTCCGTCGGGGTTCTTTACAGTCCATTTGGCGTCCCTGAAGAAGGGGTTGCGATTTCCTCTCCACCCCTTGTTGATTGAATTCCTTAATGAGGTGGACCTCCTCCCCTGTCACTTGGTTCCCAATTCCCACCGGTACATTGCCGGTTATCTAATTAGATGCAAGGATATAGGGGTGAAACCTACTCTTGACCACTTCCTGTTCACTTTCAAGCTGACCAAGGGTCACAAGGATTGGGCGTCCTATGCCAGTCTTTCCCAAAGGTTTAGCAAACTGTTTACTAGCGACAAGAAGGGGTCGACCAAAGACTGGAAACCCTTCTTCGTCTTTGTCTCGACGGGGCCCGAATCTCCTTTCACGGGTTCAGGGCTCCCTTCTTTCCGTCGCATCCCTTGTCCCCCATCTGACGCCACCCTCTTGTCCATGACCCACCAACTCTGCGGCCGAGGGGCTGTCAATATTAAGGAGGTGGTAACCGAGCAGTCTCTTGCCAAGATGGGGTTTGAGTTTGTCCAAGACGAACTTCGTCACCAACCTGAGCTGTTGAGGGATGTTCCCGGGGGCGGTCAACCCAACCAGCCAAGGGGCACTCCTGAGGGAGGTCTTGATTGTGGTCCTTTTGGTAATTTACCCCTATTTTGCCAAAATGTTCTAGTTTACTTTATTCACAGGCTAACCATTTTCCTCGCTTTCAGTTGAGTTACAGGATCTAGAAGAAGAGATGGACAGCGATCTCCTGCTCAGTCGCTTCACGGCAGGGAGGAAGAGGAAAAGAGAGGCGAGGGGCCAAGGCAAGCGCTCTTCCTCCCACCGAGGGGATAGTCCTTCTCAAGAGCCGGATGTAATCGTGGTGGAGGACCAGGATGATGCGGCCCTAGAAACGGGTACAAATGCGGTTCATTCCCCTCTGCACTCTCTGATGCCAGGTGGCGACCCCAAGGTGTTGTCTTGGAGCGACCTCATTCGTCGCCCGCGGTGACCTACGAGGTGGCGACTGAGGGTCGCTCAACGAGGCTCAGCATTCCTCCCCCTCCCCAAAGTCTAGGGGACGTGCAGCTGGAGACCTTGATCACCCTGCCCGCGGAAGACCAGGCCCGCATCTAGGCCGGTTCTGAGGACGATCTTGACAACATGGTCCTCTTGAGACTTAGCCAGGTACTCACCTTGATTTCCTTCTCACCACCCCTCCCCCTTACACTCCTAACTTTTATGCCTTGGTATAGGCTACGCTGGGGATGATTGAGGTTGTCAGCAGGAAGCGGGGCCGCCAAGCTGCTTTGGATGAGGCGATGAAGGCAGCGGAAGCCAAGCAGAAGGAGTTACAGGAGGAGGTCGCCCGTCTTATGAGGGAGTTGGAGGAGAAGGAGAGCCGATGCGCTGCTCTTGAGGCAGAGAAAGCCTCCCAACAGGACCGTTGCGTTGCTCTTGAGGCAGGTAAAGCCTCCTTGTCTTTGGAGGTGGAATCTGTTTCCGCTCGCGTGGTCGAGTTGGAGGGGGAGAAGACTGACCTGATCTAGCAGCTGGAGTTGGAGAGGAGCGACTGGGCCTGCCATGTGGAGGACGCGATCGAGTCTTTTAAGTCCTCTCCTGACTTTACGCTGGTCGCTCTGGAGCGAATGGACAGGCTGGCAGCCGAGTGGCTCAAAACTGAACCCGGGGCTCAATGGATGGTCAAGGAGGGGGGCTAGACCCCTACGAATTCTAACGACTGGGGGGCTAGACCCCTACGAATTCTAACGACTCGGGGGCTAGACCCCTACGAATTCTGTCGCCGGTTGCCCCGTCAGCAATGGCCCTCGGTTAAACCACCGCCGATACCGCCAAATCCCTATGACGATTTTAGCGAGGCGTACAAGGCTCTCTCAGCCAACCGTCTGCCCAACGGGCGAATTGACTAGGACGCCCCATGCCCACTCCATTCGTTGCAATGCATGGATTGGGAGAGCGTGCAGAATGAGCACTTGCCTATTTTGGAGCATGAGGGAGCGTATTACACAAGCCCTGAGCGATGGACTAGCGAGAGTCGCACCAACTCGCCGGTGCGACCTAAAGATGAGGTGGTGGTGGGGGAAGAACTGGGTTCTTCCACCCCACACCCTGCTGGTCGCTCGCCCCCCGGAAGGCTCCCAGGCGATCCGGAGTAGCTCGTGCGGCCTCAGGGTCTGCATCCTCATCTAGGTGATGCCAATTGGGGCTCACAGAAAAGAGAGTCGCCCCTCTTCCCTTACTTGCAGGAGAAAGACGGGGGGTTTTGTTGCGGCCCACGAGTGACCATCTTTGCTCCATGTTGGAGAAGGAAGGTGGTCGCTCTGGACGGCCGGTGATCGGAGTCCTGTCGCCCTATACAGACGCAGCACTACCCTTCAAACTTGCCTTTTCCCCTGGTTTCTTCATCCTTTCTAGGCTTCAGCCGCACAAAGTTCTGGATTTCCTCCTTTTTTGTTCTCAATTGTATTGGATGTGTAGATGTAAAATATCATTCTTGAAATGTAATTAATATTTTCATAAGTGTGTTTCGATGTTCCCTACTCACCTGCAGGTCCCATCTTCTTCTGTCTAGGCCTCCTCAAACCTTAGTTAGAGAACACCCTACTTCTTTTGACATAGCCATTTTTGGGGCATCTTCGCTCCTATGGCGTCGCCACGTTTTCAAAGTCCTCAGGTCGCTCCTGCGACCAGCAAATATTATGTCCTGGACTTAGCCATTTTCTTAGGCTTTCTCGCCACGGCGTCATCCTCTTGTTAGTCGTGCGTCCTCAGGTCGCTCCTGCGACCAGCAGATCTTATGTCCTAGACTTAGCCGTTTTCTTAGGCTTTCTCGCCACGGCATCATCCTCTTGTTAGTCGCGTTGTCCCCTGGTCGCCTCGGCGACGGTGGAGCGAGCACTCTCTGATAACAGGGTTCGGCACTTCATCCCCTGGTGGGCGTCGTAGTGTGTAACTTAATTTAGCGATCCCTATGGTCACTTCCTTTTTTTTGAATGATGGAATTCAAGAAGAGAAGTGCCAGAATGATGAACTCATTAAATTCAAAAGGTAAACATGGCAGGAGTACAATCTACTGATAAAATTTGATAAGATTGGCTGCATTCCACACCTGCGGGACATCACCTCCCGCTGGTGTTTGTAGTCTAAACGTTCCATCGGCCAACATTTCCTTTCTGATGTATGGCCCTTCAAAATTCTTGGCAAACATCCCTCCGTCGGTTGGCCGGCTGACCTCCCTTTTTCGTAGGACCCAGTCGCCTATTCCGAACTGCCTTGGTCGCACCCTTTGGTAATGGTACGACTTAACTTGCCGATGATAATTCTCTGCCCGTATATACGCCCTTTCTCTTCGCTCATCTATAAGATGCAGTTCCGCCCTAAGGTTCTCTTCATTCTCCTGGGCGTCAAATGTTTCCACTCTATAGCTTAGCAACGAGGTCTCAGCCGGGGCCCTTGCCTCAAACCCATATGTGAGCGCGAACGGAGTTTCACCTGTAGCTTTTCTTGGAGTAGTTCTGTAGGTCCATAAGATGTATGGCAACTCCTCCACCCAGGCGCCTAAACACTCCATTATCTTGTTCTTCAGGCCATCCACAATGGTACGGTTGGTGTTCTCGACCTGCCCATTGGTCTAGGGGTACCCAACCGCAGCGTAATTGTGCTTTATGCCCCAACTCTGTAGAAACCCATTGAACCCCTTAGCCTCGAACTGGGTTCCGTTATAAGTGATGATCTACTGGGGTACCCCAAAGCGGCACAAGATTTTCTTGGACACAAATTTCCTCATTTGCTCTTCAGTGATGGTCGGTACTGGGGCGGCCTCGACCCATTTGGTAAAGTAGTCGATTGCGACCACCAGGTACATATTGTTCCCTGCTCCTCTGGGCAGGATGCCGACTACGTCAATACCCCACCACGCAAAGGGAATGGCAGTGCTGATCGGGGTGTAATTCGTCGCTGGTCGACCTGGTACCTTCTAAAACTCCTGGCAGACCTTGCACTTACGTACGTACTCAGCACAATCCCTGATGATCGTAGGCCAGAAATACCCCTGCAAGGTTATCTTTGTGGACATTGTGAAGGCTCCTTGGTGAGCTGAGCATATCCCTTCGTGGATTTTCTCCATTAGTTTCTGTGCTTCGTCCATCCTTAAGAACCTCAACAATGTACCATTGTACGATCGCTTGTACAAACAACCGCACTCCAGCGTGTAGCTAGGTGCGCGTCATCTGACTACCTTAGCAGCAACCGGGTCGGTAGGTAGCGACCCATCAAGGATGTACATGGTTATCTCATCGATCTAGTCTGGCTCTTTGAGTGTCACAACTAGAACCTGTCTAGGACTAATGCTTGGCTCGAGTAATTCTTCTTCCTAGGTCATCGCCCTGATATGATCTGGGGAGTCCGGACCAAGCTTTGACAGGATGTCCGCCTCGGCATTTTCTTCTCGAGGGACCTGCTCCATCCGGTATGCCCCGAACGCCTTAAGTACTTCCAGAACAACGCCTCTGTACTTCTTCATTCGCTCATCCTTGGCCTCAAACTCCCCCGTGACATGTCCTACTATCAGCTTGGAGTCACACCGGACCTGGATCCGTTCAACCTTTAACGACGCTGCCAGCCTCAAACCACAAAGCAGTGCCTCACATTCAGCCTCGTTGTTCGAGACCTTGAACCGGAACCTTACGGAGTAGTAGGCCTTGAATCCTTCCGGTGATATTGCCACGACACCTCCCCCCGAAGCATCAGTCGCGGATGAGCCGTCGGTGTACATAGTCAACCAGTTTCCTTCGGGTTCTTCTCCGTTGGATTCCACTTCCCTTGCAATGCATTCTACTACAAAATCCGCCAAGGCATGCCCTTTGATCGCTGGTCGTGGCTTGAATTCTATCTGAAAAGATCCCAGGAACACTCCCCATTTGCTAACTCGTGACTGGGCATTCGGACTTCGGAGGAGGGTTCCGATTGGAATCTGGGATAACACGTGGACCGGGTGGGCCTGAAAATATGGGGTGAGCTTCTTCACCGTGCATACCACCGCAAAGATGGTTTTTTCCATGTTTGTATATCTTAGCTCTGCCCCCCGCAACACCCGGGCCACATAGTACACCGGTCGCTGCGTGCCCTCCTCCTCTCTCACAAGCACCGAGCTCACAGCTCGAGGAGAGATTCCCAAGTACAGGAATAGAGTCTCTCCGGGCTCTGGCTTCAAAAGCACTAGTGGGGAGAGGAGGTACGCCTTCAATCCTTCGAAGGACCGTTGACATTCTTCGGTCCAGACAAACCCTTTGCTTTTCTTGATGGTCTGAAAGAAGGGTGCCGCTTGATCAGGTATCTTCGATAAGAAGCGACTGAGAGCAGCGATCCTTCCCGTAAGCTGCTGGACCTCCTTCACGTTCTGTGGCGGCTCCATCTCTAAAATTGCCTTCACCTTCTCCAGGTTGGGCTCAATCCCCATTCGACTAACCATATGCCCTAGGAACTTACCCCCTTGGACCCCAAATGTACACTTCTTGGGGTTAAGGCGGAGCTGGAACTTCTTCATGATCTTAAAAACCTTTTCCAGATCTTGGGCATGGAACCCCATCTGCTTTAATTTGACGATCATATCGTCCACATACGCTTCCATACACATCCCCAACACAGGCGCGAACAGTTTGTTGACCATCCGTGCGTAGGTCACGCCGGCATTCTTCAAGCCAAAGGGCATTACCTTGTAACAATACACCCCATTGGGGGTGATGAAAGCGGTCTTCTCTTCATCCGCTGCAGCCATCTTGATCTGATGGTATCCACTGAATGCATCCATAAAGCTCATCAGTTCACATCCTGCCGTCTCATCCACCAACTAATCAATGTTGGGGAGAGGGAAAGGATCCATTGGGCAAGCTTTGTTTATGTCAGTGTAATCGACGCACATCCGCCAGGTATTCCCTTTGGGTGCGAGGACTACGTTCGCCAACCATTCCGGGTAGCGGACCTCCCGGATGTGTCCAATGGACTGGAGGGTTGCCACCTGCTTGGTGACAAACTCTCTCCTTTCTGAGGAAAGAAAACGCTTCTTCTGCTTAATTGGCTTGTGGGTCGGGTCCACTGCCAACCTATGGCAGATGACCTTCGGGTCGACCCCAGGCATGTCCTCTAGGCCCAAAGCGAATAGAACCTTGAATGCTTGAAGGACCTCTAACAATTGCTCCTTTAATCTGGGTGGTAAAGTCTTACCTACCTTTATCTTCTGCTCTGGCTCGGCCGGATCCAAGATGACTTCTTTGACTTCCTCCACTAGTTCGGCTCGAGGTCGCCCCTCTTCCTTCTGGATTGCAGCACAGATCGTGCTCACATTCTCATCGACCCGTGCCTGGCTCTTGGTCGCCCTGACATAGCACGATCGAGACAAGCTTTGATTCCCCTTAGCCACCCTCACCCCCGTGGGGGTGTTGAACTTCAGGCACAGATGGATGGGGGAGATTACGCACTACAGGTCCTCCAACCCCGGTCGCCCCAGAATCAAATGGTGTGCACAATCGAGCTGCACTACCATGAATTCCATGTCGAGCCAGAGTCGGTGGGTGCCGTCTCCTACCCCAGCCTTCACCGTGATGGTCCCTTCTGCTTCAATAGTGTCTCCCGTAAATCCTGACAGTGGTGTACGGATCGGCTTCAGATCGCTCCGGGACAACCCAAGCTCCCTAAAAGTGTTGTTGTACATAATTTTGACCGAACTGCCAGTATCGACCAATGTACGATGGACGACCACATTATTGATTTCCA